TAGCACACATTCATACAGCTTCCGAGTGGAAGTTGGTTCGAAGGGGTGCGTATATATTTGCTTCCGGCTTCTCGTTTTCAGAAATGAATGAATCGCCGACGGCGGGAGAGAACGAATGAATGAAATAGGCAAGCTGAATGCAGTCAGTTGCAACGGAATAGGGGTGATTTTTATCAATGAACAAAGCGGCTCTACTTAAAATGAATGATTCTTCCTCATTGATGGAAACGAGGCCGGACGTTCTGGCATATGTGGTGTGTGAGAAAATCAGGGGGTGCAAACGGCGCGGAAAGACGGAAATCCTCACTTACTCGGCACGCCAGTTGTTTACCTCGGCGTGCTTCTTTGCAGGGGCCGAAAACGTTTGTGAACGCGCCCTAGCTCTTCTCGAAAGCGAAACGGAAATTGGACAGACCCTTTGCGCCGGGATGGGATTATTTTTCGTTACTCCTTCCGGCTGAGATATATGTGTGGTTAATCAAATGTCAGCCGACGCAGAAACTGGTGATAACGCCACAAATATGTTTGTCAGCAGGGATGGGCACTCAAGTGGAGTGATAATAATTATTTTATGGGAGGAGACTCTTTTAATTAATGAGCTAGAAAAATACAGTTTTAAAATGAAAATAACAAATTCGTTTAAATCAATCCAAACTAATATGGCAAGAATGTGTTTATTTAGAGGCAGAAATGCACATAATTTTACAATTTCTGTTGAATTTTAATTTGCATCTGGAGAAGTTTCTTGTTATTTTTTTATGTAATGTGTATATAGGAGATCGATGGCTTCAACAAAAAAAATTTGAAACTGGAAAACCATTCAAAGAAAATTTAAGTTACCAGGCTGTTTTGGGAGAGGAAATTTAAGGCGCGATTGAATATTTTACTCAAAATAAGTGAATGGTTAAATTTTTTCCATTCAACTTCTATTAATGTTATTGAATTATAAACAAATTAAACTGACAAAATTTAGAACCAAATAAAATGCTTAATTCCTAAATAATGAGCTAACAAAATTTAATTTTCATCAATAGTTCCAACTTTTTTAACTATTGTATCTTTTGAGCTTACTTTTTTTAAATATATGATGTATATTGACCTTTTTTAAAGAAAAAAAAAGAATTCAGAAAATAAAAATTCTGGAGTATTAAAATATTTATTAAATCGCCTTAAGTATCTGTAGAAAATTCATTTGGTTGAGAAGCTTTAAATAACTTTAAATTCAAAATTCAGAAATACAGTTTAGCTTCATGCTATTTATTTATTTTTTTAAATTTATGGAATTACTGATGAAATATTTTAAATTCCTGTACACAAACATTATTCATTTGCCTTTTTCTTTAATAAACATGGAGATGTTAGTCGGGAAAAATCTTCATTTGTAAAGAGAATTTACATACTATAGGGTGACCTTTTGAAGGTCGTCTGAATTCACTGAAATTCTTAATCTGTGCTCTGACAGATTATATTTTTTTTCTTTTTTGCTAATGGAAAGTATTATTTCAATTTAAATTGCATATTTTTTTCAACTGCAGTTTTCACCAACTTTCAAGCACTTCCAAACTGCTTTTATTTTGTATTCTATAATGTTTGCTCACGTATGCAGAGAGAAATTCGGATACCAAAGGAGATTCGCACGCAGGCAAATCCTTTCGATTTGGCAACAAGGTGGTCAGGCAGGCAGTCCGCGTGGGCGTTTGGGCCGCGGCCCTTTTATATACACATTTATTTCAGCTGGCGATTTCCATACTTGCACAGGTGGGTGTGCTCTCTCTCTCTCTCTCCATAGCACGGTCGGCTCTCTCGAAAACGCTGCAAGATTGTAAAGCTGAGCAAACACTCGCGGCCTTTAAAAGGTCGTCGAGCAAAAAGAAAAGCTTTTCTCGCCCGCAGTCACCAATTATTATTATATTCCACATAACGACTTGCTCCATCAGAGATGAGCGCACACATAAAGCCTAATTACGCTCTGAAAAAATAAAGCCGGCGAATTTTTCCTGAATTCTCTCTCGGCGGAGAGAAAGAAAGAAAGAAAGAATTACCATGGTGAATATTTTTATTGTGAGAGCATCCAGCAGGAATGCGGCGGGATGAGAACCTTGAAAAATATTCTGCCGAATAAGAGAGAAAAATATGCAACGGCACTCGGCCTCATCTCGGCAAACATTGCTAATTTTCTGTTTGCCGTTCTTGGACCACTGCTCTTGAGTGTGTCAGAAAAGTCGACGAGGCTTTTTGTTCTGCTGTGGACGAAAATATGCTGAGACAATGTTGCAGAAATGTCGTTTGGCAAAGGAATCTGGAGTGCTCAAAATTATTTTTGCTAGCGATCAAAAAAAAAAAAAATAATAATCTTAAGAACAGCTAATTTCTGTTTGCCGTTCTTGGAGTTTGTCAAGAAGATTAACGTTTTTGTTCTTCAAAAGAGAAATAAAATGTAATTGGTTTACAATGTTGCTGAAATTTTACTTGGAAAGAATTTTGAGTGTTATTCAGAGTGGCTAATAATGAGAAGCTCAATTAAAATGTAAGAACTTGTATTATTTCTCTACTTGAGTAAAATGAAAGATTCGTGCTTGCTGTAAAATTTGTATTTTCTTATTGCAATCTACATTTTAAAATTTTCATATTTTTCTATTTTTAGCTAATTAAAGCTCTCATTTTCTTTCTAAGCCAATTGAATTTCTTTATTTTTTCTCTTTTTATTATTGCATTGTTTTTTTAAATCTTATTTTCCGAGCTTCAAACTAATTTCTAGAAAGGTTTTCCCTGAAGGATTCTATTTAATTGAAATTAATTTTTGCCTGCCTTCTCAAAAGTTCATTTAAAAATGTATAAAATAATAAAATAAAATGGTATCAAAAACTGATACAACTGATAAAACGTGATAAACCAATTAAAGCCATTTAAACAAAAATTTGACTAAAAATTTTTTAAGAAATTTAACGTGTATTCAGAAACTTCTGCGCGGAATTCAATTTTTTTGCATGTATGACTTGAGTAGAATAAACAACAATAATAAAGTAAATTAAAATATATAATTTTTTTTATAAAAAATTAGTTAATCAACTTTTGAAATTACCTGCATTTATTTTTCATAATACCACTATTTGTTTATTCAACGACGGTAATAATTTTTACAAACATATGCAACCAAGTTCTGGTAATTTTCTGATTTTTTTCGTAACCTCAAAAATTTTCCGCAATCCAATTATCGCATACATGACGTGTATAATAGCTCAATTTCTCATATAATTACACGTCGAGTTGAAATTGAGATGCATCATCAAGAATGAAACAATTTCGTACTTGGATTTTAATTACAAATAAGCCGCCCTCTTTCTCAAGCCGGCATTCTTCTCTCATAATGGCCTCATTAAAAAGGCTGCTTTTATATAATTGTCAAGATCGAGAATGATTAATTGCAGTGCAGAGCAGAGGGGTATTTAATAACAGTCTCAAAATGTCACCATTGTCACCTCTGGATGGGCGCATCACCACGATTACGGTCGCGGCGGGATGGGTGGAAAAGGAGCGCACAAAAGAACAGAAACCGGAAGTATCCTTTCCCATCACAGAGAAAGAGAAAAGACAAACCACCACACCCCATCATATAATACAAAATGTTCTGTTAAAATCTGACTGCGCGTTCAAAAAGGAATTCCCGGTGCCTCCTTTTTTTTTCATTCATGAAAAGCTGCTGTGTGTGCAGCGCTGATATAATTTAAGAGGAGGCCGCCTTTCGAGATAGATAAAGAGAACACTGCACGGGAAAAGGAAATTAAACACAACGTGTTTCATCAATTTTATCATTGTGTTGGCGGCTCTGCGACTAAAATATTTTCACTTCCCGCCGCACAGCTTCTTTTTTTTCTTTCTTTTCTCTCGCGGCCGTGGGAAATAAACGCGGATATCTTTCTGCTGAGCCACTTTATCTAATTTTGCATTCCCTGCTCCCGCTCTTTTATCCGACGCATGTACAAACACTGCACGCACAAAATCGCAGTTCATTCAGAATATGGGAGTTTTTGCCGCCGAATTCAAGGAAGCTCTCTTTTGTCTGTTTGCTTTTCACGGCCCATTGTTGTTCAGAGTGATTTTCTCCCGCCCTTTTTGGACTTGCTTTTTCTAGTTGTTCCTACAATAAAGCTGGGGCACTTGAAAGGTTAAAAGTGTAAAAATTTCCTACAAAAAAAGTTGCCTAGTCAACCAAGGCTCTTGTAGCAGATTGATCTTTTTCATGTTGGAAATTAAAAATTTAAATAATTGTTTTTCTTTAGAAACAATGAAAATTGCATCAATTTGGATAAAAATAATAAATATAAATTATTATTAATATTCAAATAATTAAAAATTACTTAAGAATTTTTTAAGTAAAATCAAACCAATGTTTGATTGTTGAACTCTGAAGTCAAAAGTGTTTCTTTGTAAAAAAAAAAGATGCAAAACACCCCCTTTTCTTCTTGCCATCAGCATTTTTTTTAACAATATTAAAATTAATTTGCAAATTTTTTAAATAGTTCTATTACTGAAATTATTTCAGTTGAATGATTTTTTTGTGTGATTTTAAGTAAAGAGATTAAAAATTAAATCAATTATTTTATATACATGAAATTAAAAAAAAGCGTCCCGTTTCCATTAGGCTTTTCATCTGCCTTACCTAAACAAGCCCCTACGGAGACCAAAGTCGATTAATCATTCCTGAAAACAAACATGTTCCAAGAAAAGATTCCCCCATTTGAAAAACTCCCTCTTCACCACTCCTTAATTAAAAGGGCGTTCACATCGATAATTACACAATGCGTGATTGGATTTGACGCTTTGATGACTCGAGGGTGTGCGTTAAATTTATATATTGTCTCACTTTATATATTTTTTTATCCCGTCGGCACGTTACATTATTTACGTTGGGTTGGTGTGCTGTGACGTGTATATTATTCATCTCTCTCTTGTTTTGGGTCGGTGAGTTTTGAACGAGTTGTTTGTTTGTTTGTCGGCAGGACCCGACCCAGATCCTGGACCTTGGCATTGTCACCAGCATCGAGAGCAACCACAAGTCGGTGGAGAACGCGCGCAGGGGCCTCGAGGTGTGCATCAAGATCGAGAACACGGGCGAGGGGGCGCCCAAGATGTTTGGCCGCCACTTCGACGAAAAGGACGTGCTGCTCAGCAAGGTAATTAATTTTCTTTCAATTAATCATATAAAAAATAAAAACGGAAAATTATCTGCAGACAAATATGTAAACTTTAAAATTAAAAATTGAGATTTTTGAATTGAAATATTTTGTCAGAAAACAGAAAACTCTTGTGTTGGCTTAAATTAAAATTTTTGGTTGGGAAGCCAAACAAAAGAGTTAATTAGCTAAAAAAAATCTTGGTCATTATTATTGTATTGTATCAAAATTCTAAATGCATGTTTAGACTCAAATTAGCTGAACAACGATGCATTAAGTGATTTTAAAACCTTCATTTTAAAACTAATTAAAGACAAATGTGGGCATTATTAGTACAATTTATTGATTTTTCAATAAAATAGTCAAATTGAAGATCACCTATTTCTCCATCTCAAACTGGAATGCTGAATTAAACAAACAATAAAATGTTAAAATCAGTAATTTTTTAGGGTTAGTTTTCAACTTAAATTTTTATATAATTATAGAATGTTACATTTTTGTCTAAATTTATTGTTATTTATTTTTTATAAAAAATTCTTCCAATGTGTTTCCTTTCTTTATATTCTCACAAATGAAACTTGTGAAAACTTTTAATTAGCTGCCGTCTGTCTGCCCACTCGACATTGAAAGTTTTGCTCGTCTGCTCGCCGATTCCAATCAAAAGTTGGCATGCAAATTGTACATTAGGTACTTTCAAATGCAGACGTGCGCAGGAAGAAAGTTTGGCTGCGAATTAAACGCGCTGTTTTCCTCGTTGGGGTCGTCGGTGTGTCTCGGCGCATGTCCCCGCGTGGGCGTGCAGAGCAGCCTTGTTCGCTTTCCATCCGTCGCCCAGACCCGCATCCAGAATTATGAATGAAGCCCGAGAGCGTATTTTATCGATCGGCAATCGACGAGCTGTGAATGGAGCCACCTGCCCACCTACTCTACTTTTGTTCTTTCCAGGGAAAACGCCACGCCCTGCTGCCTTTTCCTCCGTTTTGATTCATGTCTAAATTTTTTTTCTTGTTCTTGTTGCAGATCTCGAGGCAGAGCATCGACGCTTGCAAAGAATACTTCCGAGACGATTTGATCAAGAGCGACTGGCAACTCATGGTCGAACTGAAGAAACTGTTCCAGATTTTGTAGTTTTGAAAAAGAAAATGAAAAATCTGAGCCAAACCTTAGAAGACGAAAACGCCCTGATTTCAAATCCAAGCTTCCTTCGAGATTATAAAGTTATTTTTGTTCTTTCAATGATTTACTTATTTGAACTTAATTTTTTTTCCAAAACCATCTACGCTGATAAATCAAATTAGACAATTCTGTGACTGCTGATTTATTTTATATTTTTGTTCTCTCTCTCTCTCTTGCTTGCAGTTTATTGCCCTTGTAGGTTCAAAAGGTCATATTGAACGAGTGAGTGAAAAGAAAAAAAATCAAATAAAAGTTAAGGATTTGCTACAACTTAATGGGAATGAAAGCTATTTTATTTAAATCGCCGGAAAAACTTATACCCCATCAACTTTTGTAACATAGGTCGTTTTTTTAAAACCAAATTTATTACAGAAGGATTACTATTTTTTTTTCCAAATTAAATCAACCAAGAACTGGAAATTTGTATTCAATTGATTTAAATTCCATCTTTTGGAAATAAATTTATATGATCCATTAATTTTAATCATAAATAGCATCTTACATTAGATTTTTCTGTTTTAACCAGAAAATTTTGGTTATTAAAAATTTTAAAATTATTATGCAAGTTTTGCAGAGAAATTTCCTGCAAATTTAGCAGAGTAAAAAGATTCAATTATGAGAATTTTAGGAGAGGTAACATTAGATTTTTTGGTGCAAGTAAACTTATGAATTTTTCTATATCTTTGCCAGAAAATTTTTAAAATAAAATAATTAATTATTTTGATTTATAATTTTTTGATTACAATGGCATTGACATTAATGTTTGTGTCTGTAAAGGACAAAATATTTGTTTATCTATTGAGGAAATGGATTAAAATTCTATCACTCTATTTTCATAGAATTAAATTAGCATAGAGCGATTCGCATTTTGAACTCATTTTAATAGTGGCGCTGAATTAGGTCGCACATCTGTGTTTTTGTTGGATTCCCGCGTTCGCTTCCGCTCCGCATGCTGAATGAATGCCGGCCATCATCATTTTGATTTGTCCTCCGCTCATCTATCTCTCACAACACTAATTTATTATTTTATTTTTCGATCCATTTCCTCTTGGTCTGACTCGCAACCAACCATAAATATTTCCCAAGCATCAAATTCGGCTTATGAATGATGAGCTCGAATAGCATGGCGGAAAAGCATCCCACAGAGTTCTCAGAATTCAACTGGCAAGATATAAATAATAATTTTCGATCCATTTGCGGAAAGCTGCTGCTCGGATAATTTATGCATAGCCGGGCACATCGTCTCATTTATAATAATGCACTTGGGTCGCAGCTTCCGTTCAGCCAAAGTGCAGCAGCGCGACGTGCATAATTTTCTTCGTCGTGCGCATTATGAAATGCAATTCATTCATTCAGTAGCGCTCGATCATGCAAAATTCCTTTTACTTCCTGGCCTGCTGGCGATGAGTTTATTTTCTCTGCAGTTTGAAAATCATTTCTTTTTTCTGATGCACACAAAAATTATAAATTAAAATAATTATTAGATCATGACAGGGATGGATGAAATTTTAAAAATTACTAAAGAAAATCCGTTGTACACAACTGTTATTTAAATTAATTTAATATTTCATTTTGTCTCCTAACTGTTATTTACAATTATAAGCAATAATAAAAATTTAATATGTTATAATTTTAAATTATAATTTAAAATGAATTTAACAACACATTAATTTAGATTTATTATTCATTAAATTTAATTTAAATTATTTATATTTCATAATTTTAAATATTTTCTTAAAAAATAATTATAATTCTTCAAGCAGGTTATCTTGAATTCAAATTTTTTCTATTTAATTCAACAAATTTATAATTTTACTGCTCAATCTCTTCTCTTTAGTGAATGATCAATTCTATCTGATCTGTCTTCTTGTTTCTATTCATGATTTATATTATCGATATTCCCATTTAATTCGCCTGATAGAGCTCCTATATTATTACATAATATTATCTAAGTATTTTGTTCAAACGTAAAATTAAAGGAAAAATTGGACCTAAAAAATGCCATGGCCTTCGTTTTGATGATCGTCCAAGCAAGTTTAATTGAGAACGAATGGGCTGCATTGTTTTATTGGGCGTCGTGGGCCCCTTGTCGAGGGGCGCGCGCGTTTCGTCTTGAGGCGCTGGCCCAAGAAAGGCGATGGGTCTGGTCGGGTCTGGTCCTAATATAGGGACCGGATTTCCTCCTTCTCCTGTGCCCCTGCGGGAGGAAGCAGTTGGTGATCAGCCGACGGGAAGCAGCGGCCCAGCAGCTCTCTCGTACATTTCCTGCCGTACAGTTGCTGCAGCATCGCCGAGCTCCATCCCGGCCGCCAACCAACCACCCGCCCAAGGCGCCCATTCCGCCTTACGGGAGGTCAGGGTCACTCTTCGACACCCGCGAATGCATAAAAATAAACGAGTAATGAAAATTTATTAATCTGTAAGTCAGAAAATAAACCATAATAAAACCTTCAATCACCTAATTTAAATTTATAATGAACCGATTTGGTGTACGAAACTGCAGGGGAATACTTGGCTATAAATTATAATCCACCTAGATTCAATTAAGAGGGTTTAAAAGTATGCAACACGAGAAACACGAAAAACGCAAAATATTATGAAATGGAGCAAAATAAAGTTTTTGTTATTTAATTACAAAAAAAAGTGGAGGCACTATTTGGAAAAAGTTGACCTTATAGTCTGAAACATCATGAAAATTTGAAATTTTTTTAAGAAATTTATTGTGAAAAACACCAACATAAATTTTAATTTAAATTAAATAAGCTGTATACTGAATGTTTATAATTTTAAACTTTTGCTGTTCACTCAAGGAAAGAAAAGTGTATTTTTCAGAAAGCAACCTACTGGTTTAATAAGATAAGTTATAATCATAATTTAAATTTTATTGATTTTGTTTTCTAAATTAAAAAACCTTATCTTGACCGCAAAAACAACTGAAAGAGTTTCAGATCGTTTTAACATTTATAGTGTAACGGAAAAAATGGATAAGTGAGAAACTGAGAAAATAAATTTTTTACACCAACTGACGTATGCTGTGTTAAATTACATGGAAAATACTTGATATTTTAATAATTAATTTACAAGAATATTTCAATTTAATTTTTTAATAATAATATTTTTAATTTTATAGATTGAATAAATCTTGCCTCTGAAAATGACAACATAAAAATGTAATGCATAGAGGGGATGAATCTTGTTATCTGGTTAATTATAATTATTGTTATTGATTGGATTATTTAGAAAAACCCGAGATACCTGACTTAACAATCATGCAAGTCAACAGAGTAAAATTTATTTTACATCTTTCAACTATTGTACATGACGTAAAAGATTTCAAGCCAATTTATTTATAATAAATGGCAATGATTTGAAACATAATAAATAATAAAAAAAGTTTAAAAAGTAAATAATAAATTTAAATTAATTAATTTTTATTATTCTAATAAAGGTTTTGACAATAAAGAACAAATAATCATAATTTATGATTCATCATAACTATCAGATTTTTAATTAAAAAAAAAATTAAAATTAGAAATGATTTAAGTTGAGTGCGTGTGTCTGTTGGGTCGTTTGAGCGACGCAGGCTTGTCGTTGGAGCCTCTCCTTGGCTCGCTACGGGACGTAGGCGGAAACGGCGGAGGAGGCGGCAACACCGCCGTGAGGGCTTGGCGGCTGCGAGGCTGGGCTGCATCCATCATTTGGTCTTCATTATTCCGAAGCACACGGCAAGCAGGCGTCGTCGACTTTGCTCTCGGCCGACCGAGTGCCTTCGCAGTGCCGAATTCGCTCGCGGTCTCCTGTTGTGCAATTAGTAGTGAGGTGCTCTGGTGACAATTTACCTCCTTAATTGGATTTTGGATTACCAAAGACAACCACCCGCTTTTGGATTTAATACGTACCGCCGTGTGGACCCACAAACTATTCGCCGCGATCTTCTAGGTAAGCCGGAAAACTTATAATTCAATTTTTTTTTATTTATTTCCCCTGTAAAATTTATTTCAAGCGTGAATTTTAATTTTAATTTAAAATTTACCAATTTGTAATGATCCTCAATCCTCTCAGATTGTTTAAATTTTGGCGAAAAAATTCAGTATGGACCGAAATAAGTGGAATAACTTGTTGTCCACCCTTCAGGGGCCACTCCATTCATAAATTTTCCACGTGACGTCACCAACTCGTGGGCGCCTCACGATTTCCTGCTAAATTTCCAAATTCCAGTTGGAACAAACATTTTCCTCCTTCAAATGCCGGCTTTTAGGACCGATTTGACGATTCGGCGGCCAGAGAAATCGCGTTTTTTCTGCGAAATAAGGAGCGTTCGTGTGCGGGTTGCATAACTCTCGGCAGCACCATTCATGATTTCCCGAGTGACGTCACGAGCCGAGTATTTCTCCCTCCCTCGGTGATTTGAAAGTCAATTGTGAGTCGCGGCGACCGCGTCTTCCTTCTTCGCTTATCCATTAATTACGAACGTGAGGATATCTGGAAAAAAATGAATATGTGTCGTTTTTCGACTTTCAACTCACCTTCCTGCGGTGCACTCGGCGATCAGCTCCACTTCCGCCGGCCGCGTCGTCTGCGAATGCATGGAATGCCAAGAATTATGCATTTTTAAACGCATTTTTCACACGCCTCAATGCCACTGCCGTCTATTCAATGAATGCACTTAGTTCACATTGATGAGTTGATGAGCAAAGATTTATAAATTTTTCAGATATTTTTGCTTATGTAATTTTAATCATTGGCGCACAAAACTTGATTAATGCACATTTGTGAGATTTATTTATTACTTTGTTAAAGTTAATTTTTTTGGCAACCGTTACACAGAATTAGGCTTAATTATTTTAAGCCAGAGTCTGAATAAGTTGATCTAGATCCCGAGATTAACAACCGAGTTGTTTGTTAATAAACAGCGAATCTAAGTTGCTAATTTTCCAAAATACATTTTTGAACACATCTTAAATTAACATATTATATTAAATTTTTATTAGTTTTTACGTTGGATTTAAATTTTATTACATTAAAAATTCTATTTTTAATATTTCATAATTATTTAAATTAATGAAATTGAAATTTGTTTGACATATTTAATGAAATTTTATTTTTAACTGGGGATAATAGATTTTTAATTTATAGTGATGCTTGTGTGATATTAAGACTAATTAAACACTAATGGTGTAATTTTCAATAGGTATATTTTGAGATTAAAAATTATAATAAACATGAAATAAAAATTTAAAAAAAAAAAAATGTGCACAGCCTGACGTATATTTTAGCGTTATTTTT